ATTAATTTAAAAATATTCTTCTCTCTGTATTCTGTTAATTATTAATTTAAAAATATTCTTTTGTGTTCTATTTGCCAATTCTAAAAAAAATATTAATTTTGTTTTCTAGGTGATTTGTGATAATTAATGGAATAGTATGTATGGTTTTCGGCACGTTGTGTATATTATTAGATGTGCTGGTGGGTAGTGATCTTCTTGTGGCATAACATGACCAGGTAGTGGAGGACTATATCATTTGTAGGAACTACAACTGCAGGGAAATTTAAATGTTTCGTATTAAATTTATGCACATGTGCCTTTAGGTATATATTATTGTATATTTGTATTATATATTTTTTCTTGGGGGGGCGGGAGCCCCATCAGTGCCTTGGAGCTATCCAGGCTGAATGGATATGTATATAACTTTATGGCATCAGTCAATGTGCATGGATTTCTTGCTTACCGGGGACCGCGAGCCAGAACCTGGCTCCCCCTCAGAGTGGTGCGAGGAGCAATGGCCTATAGAAACCCCCATGTGGTTGGGAGCATTCTTTGTCTGCCATCAAATGGGTCTGACACCCAGAAAGATAGGTATCCCAAAGCAAACCCATATTCTGGTGAAACTACTGCTACTGAAAGCCGATCGAGTGGACAGAAGTCCCGAAACGAAAAGTAGCAAACTTTGGTGGGGGAAGGGGGGGGGGTGCAAATCTGCACGCATGCACCCCCCTTCCTCTCCCTTCCCAGAATGGGCGAGCCCCAGACCCTCCATGCCGGCGATCCAACCGGCAGTTCTTGGCTGATGTGATTCTGGAGAAGTAGTGTGCCTCTGGCTCCTGATTGGTCTCAGTTCTGTGCCTTGTGGTGTGGGCTGTCTCCAAAAGGTGGTGTGTGAGCCAGGAGAAATATTAGACAGTACTCAGGCTGCATTCGCCTAGGTTTCCCTTCCCTAAGTGCCCAGTAAGTACTGCCCTTGGGGCTGGGGGCCCTCCTTCCACAAGTCACCTTGGGATCTACCTCCGCTATGTCTTTTACTGCTCGGTACTTGGCCGCCCTTGTGGTCATCTGGTGTTTTGTTGCCCTTGTTTGTCTCTGGGTAGGAGGTAGTTTTCATCACTACCGAAGTATTTCATAGGTGTGCGGGGTACTACACAGATAGTTTCACCTATTATAGTGACCGACTCTGTTCTGCTTGGGTACGTTGTCCTCTTGCGGGGTTTTTCTTTTGTTTTTATTGGTTCCTGCCTGTTGAGGGGGTCTGCCTTGTTCTCCCCCTCTCTCTTGTTGGGGACGGTGTGAAATTACCTAAGTGTAGTTACAGGATGAGAGCTACGTTCGTGGTGTCCCGTCCTCCCAGCACTCTTTGTCATATAATGTTTTGAAACTACTGACGGTTTTGGCCTCCTCCACCTTCTCACCTAATTTGTTCCAACCGTCTACCACTCTGTTTGCGAAAGTGAATTTTCTCATATTTCTTCGGCATCTGTGTTTAGCTAGTTTAAATCTATGACCTCTTGTTTTTGAAGTTCCAGGTCTCAGGAAATCTTCCCTATCGATTTTATAAATTCCTGTTACTATTTTGTACGTAGTGATCATATCACTTCTTTTTCTTCCGTCCTCTAGTTTTGGCATATTTAATGCCTCTAACCTCTCCTCGTAGCTCTTGCCCTTCAGTTCTAGGAGCTACTTAATAATAATAATAATTTATTTAGGAAAAGTACATACATAGTTGCAGAGTTAAAGTACAAACATTCTGTTGGATTTAAAGATAGAGGTATTACATACAATACCTAGAGCCACTAGTACGCATAGTGTTTCGGGCAAGGTGAGGTGGGGGGGGGGAACCGCTTAACTAAACTTAGTAGCATGTCTTTGCATCTTTTCCAGTTTGTTGATGTGCTTCTTAAGATATGGGCCCCACACAACCGCTGCATATTCTAGCTTTGGCCTAACAAAAGTCGTGAACAATTTCGTTAGTATATCGCCATCCATGTATTTAAAAGCATTTCTGAAGTTAGAAAGCGAGGCATAGGTTCCTCGCACAACGTTCTTTATGTGGTCCTCAGGTGATAGTGTTCTATCTAGAACCACCCCTAGATCTCTTTCTTTATCAGAATTCTTTAAAGATTTCTCACATAATATATAGGTTGTGTGGGGTCTATGTTCTCCTATTCGACATTCCATAACATGGCATTTATTCACATTAAGTTAAATTTGCCAAGTGGTGCTCCATATACTTATTTTGTCCAGGTCATCTTGAAGGGTATGACAATCATCCAAGTTTCTTATCCTTCCTATTATCTTAGCATCATCAGCAAACATATTCATATAATTCTGTATACCACCTGGTTGATCATTTATGTAGGCAATAAACATCACCGGTGCAAGAACTGAATCCTGTGGTACTCAACTTGCGACATTTCTCCAGTCCGATACATTGCCTCTGATTACTGCCCTCGTTTTTCAATTAGTCAGAAAATTTTTCGTCTATGTTAGAAGCTTAACTGTTACCCCTCCAATATTTTCTAGTTTCCAGAACAACCTCTTATATGGAACTCTGTTGAAAGCCTTTTTTAGGTCCAGATAGATACAGTCAACCCAACCATCTTTTTCCTGTAAAATCTCTGTGGCTCGATCATAAAAACTGAGTAAATTCGTTACACATGATCTTCCAGATTGAAAACCATACTGTCTGTCTGATATTGTATCATTTCTCTCCAGATGTTCAACCCATTTAGTTTTGATTAGTTTTCCAATACTTTCACTATTACACTTGTCAATGATACAGGTCTATAATTGAGGGGGTCTTCCCTGCTGCCACTTTTGTAGATTGGAACTATGTTAGCCTGTTTCCACACGTCTGCTACGATTCCTGTACACAGGGAAGCCTGAAAGATCAGGTGAAGTGGAATGCTGAGCTCAGATGCACATTCTCTCAGAACCCATGGTGAAACTTCATCTGGAACAACTGCTTTGTTCTTAGCTCCTCTAGCATATTTTCAACTTCATCTCTAGACACCTCTATATGCTTTATGTTGTTCTCTGGAATTCTTATTGTGTCTGGTTCTTTGAAGATCTCATTTTGTACAAACACACTTTGGAACTTTTCGTGTAATGTTTCACACATTTCCTTTTCATTTTCCATGTATCTGTCCCCCATTTTCAACCTCTGAACATTATCCCTTACCTGCAGCTTACTTTTAATGAAATTTATGGAAAAGGCCTGGATCTGATTTACATTTGTCTGCTGTTCTGTTCTCAAAGTTCCTCTCTGCCTCTCTCCTTACTGACGTGTAGTTGTTTCTTGCGTCATTGTATTGCTGGTGTGTTTGAGGGTTTGGCCTCTTTCTGTAATGATTCCATGCTTGTGTCTTTCGATATCTGGCCCTCTCGCAATTTTTGTTGAACCAACCCTATTTCGTAGGTCTGCATGTCTGTTTTGTATTAATGTTTGTGTGCCTTCATCATATATTGTGCAAAATTTGGCATACATCTCATTTATTTCCTTGCCTAGCAAGAAGTGTGTCCAATTATACCCAAGAAAAAATTTCTGAATTCCCCATAGCGTCCTCTCCTGAAATCGAATTAACAACTGTTTACTGTCCCCATTCTCTTCTAGATTATAACACACAGTGTATTTGATGTCCAAGAGGACATGATCACTCTTTCCCAATGAAGGGGAGGTACTGGATGTCAAATACCTCTTCATCTTAACTGGTAAATACTAGATCCAGTACTGAGGGAACATCCCCTTCCCTCATTCTTGTGGCCTGCTTGACGTGTTGATACATGAATGTCTCCAAGATGAGGTTTACAATTCTGCCTGTCCAAATGTCCTTTGTTCTTAGTACCAACAATCGGGATTTATCTTTGTCAGCTCTTACCATAATCTCTCACATGACTATTATGAGGCTCTCTTGTTTGTCATCCAGTTCTTCCTTTTTCCATGTGATGCTTGCTGGTGAGCTGTAGGCATTTAAAATTATCAGCTTATCTTGATTCCAGAGCTGCAATGCCATTATGTCAATATCTCGATGGTTTTCAAACATTAATTCTCTTACCTTCAGGTGTTCTTTCACCAGCACAGCCACTCCTCCCCCTTCCTAGTTTTCCTGTTACGTCTCCAAACTGAATGGCCCCTTGGGAATATGACCTCATTTAAAATATTTTCTTTAAGTTTCGTCTCTGTTAATATTGTTTGTTGTTGTGTTTCCTTCTGTGTGTTGGTGGTAATCCCTGCTAGGCCTCCGATTGTGGACACATCCCAGGGGTTCAGCTTTTAGAAGTTTGTTTGGTAGACGTGGGTGCCGGTTCGCAGTACCCTTCCTGGGCTTCCCTTAGCGTGTTGAGAAGGCTAGGGGCCCCCTAGAAAACCCCACGGGGACTCCCGTGGTTCAATGGATGTGACCCTTGAGTCCCCACTCTCTCTTCTTGTGAGATTGTATACTTCTATAGGCCATTGGTCCTCGCGCCTCTCTGAGGGGGCCAGGTTCTGGCTTGTGGTGGAATACAGGAATCTTCCCGGGAGGCAAGAACTCTATGCACATTGATGCCAGAAAGTTATACATATCTATTCAGCCTGGATAGCTCCGGGAAGCCTCCGGGTCTCACCCAGAAAATGGTTTTTCATTACATTCAATGCTGTTTTTTTATTGAACTTGTGTTGAATTAAATCAATACCGACTATTAACTCAAGTTGATGCTCGCTTTAACTTTTGTTTATAAGTAAATTTTTCGGATATTATTGGAAATTGCTGTAAAATAAAATCTTGTATTTTATGTTTATTTTTAATTTTTTTGTAATTTATTTATGGAATTGTTTTGATGTCTTCGGAATATGATAATTCATTAGTGCATTAAAACTTGTAACAGAAAGTTCCATCAATTTATTGGCATTAATTTTTTGCCAAGGATAAATATCCCAGTAACAAATCACCTCCACACATCCCCCCCTCCCCTCCACATTGCCAGTTTCAAGTGTCTAACACTCCCCTCCCTGTCTCCCGTATGCTGCTCAACAGTGTGCAGCGGCTGGAGAGGCGACCCTCCAGGTTTGGGGGTCAGCAAAGGTACACAGTACAATATCCACAGTCCTATTATGACTGTACCATCATCATTTTTTTTTTTTCCACAGTACCAAGAATGCTCTAGCACTAGTGCCCTGGACTTTGTTGACTCAGGCTCATGTCACAAAGGCTCTTATATTTTTAATCCTTGGATAGCTTTTTGCCATTATACTTTTTCATAAAGGTGTTTGGTTGCTGTAGCAAGTGTACCATGGAGTTCAGGTTGCATTCAATCTGTAAAATGAGCTCAAGTCTACGAGTAATGTATTTTTGTCTACTGCAGTTGGTTGTGGTTTGCCACATTAGCTGCTGCACCCTTTAAAACACACGATAGTGATCCTAATCCGTGGTATTAACCAGATTCCATTAGCTGTCTAATAATTTTGCTACAATGTGTTTTTTGTATGTTTGCTGGGATATTACTATGGCTCAGTACAGAAAGCAAGCCATCATAAATTACAGGATGAAGCCTTAAACTACAAGTCATTTCACAATATCAATTGGCCAGTCTCAGCGGTGCTGAAGTTTTGTACTGTAAAGTAATTTGATACTACAGTATACAGTATTAATTGTAATCAGTTAAAGATTTAACATGGGAGCTGCCCAACTGAAAGAGTTCTGAAGGGCTGGTATTATTGATTGAATATTTTGAGAATTTTTTGTGAAAATGTTTGGCGAGTCAGTTGATTTAGTGTTTTGGTATTATCCCATTCTGTTTTAGCCTTAATTGATTGCTAGTGATATGGATGTGTCAATAATCCCTTTATGACATATGATGAATAGGAGAAAATATTACATCATGAATGAATATGGCTTTAATTCTAAAATGGCACTTGTTATGAAGCTTACAGATGGAATATTTATTTTTTACTTGGGTGAAAATGATCAATTTTGTCTTGTTTAATATTGAGAGATTGTTGCATAAGTTCCAGGTGCCACTTGAGAGTTGAAGCCATTGTCAGTTTTGCATCCTAATGGTCTTGTTTTGTTTTCGACTCTAGCATGAAGCGGAGGGTTGAGCCGACGAGGTAAGATTGCTGAAAGCACACCTGGCACAGTTGTCATGCACTTGAGCCGGACACCGCACTAGGCCCAGACTCTTAAACTGTCACTTTAGATCAGTATAACTCGCTGTAGATAATTCATTTAGCATCATGATCTACAACTTTCATATATTCAATGATAAAAGTCTTTAATATTGCCACTGATCTCAAGTTATTAGTAAGAGTTTGGATAATTTTTCTCAAGGTTCACTTTTTGGTTTTCCGCTGCATCATTTTTCAATTTTTCTTCCATGTTGGATGTGACTGGATATTTTTGTTGGTGTTGGTGTCCGAGGGGTGCCGGTGTACTTGACCTTACCATCCATGCTCTGTTGCTTATAAGTCATCCCCCAACATACAGGAATTACATACCATGTCTTCAGAGGCTGATAAAAATATAAATTTTATAGGAGTCTATTTTTATTTATTGAGTAAGGATATCCAGATTTCTACTTTTTCATTAATAATGAACTGCTCTTTAGTTTCTCGTATTGATTATGGAAAAGTAGATATCAAAAAACAATTTGATTTTTAAGGTTTTGACCTTTATTGAAGCCTCTAGTATGAGAGGGATGTGTTGATGTTGCTGCATTTCTCTTAACTTCTGCAGAGGCTCCAAACAGAGGTAATTTTATAGTCTCTCCAATTACTCTGAGACATTAATCACCTCTTATTTCTGTAAAGATTCAACAATGCATGACAGCAGATCTGTATTTGGTACAGTTTTAGAATTGATTACTTTTTCTTTGCACCATGGAGGATTGTTCACTGCAAGGCTCTGAGGCCGGGGTTGGTCTTTGATGTGAGGTACTTTTGTGGTTCTTGTCACCCTCTCCCAGCTCTCTGTTGGCCTCCTTAATCAATATCCAACAGTATGCTTCAACAAAATTTCTATATTTTGAGCTTTTACTAACCTCTTTTATCATTAATATTTAAAGAATATCCTCATGCTACCCTTTTAAAGTTTTCTGACTATGGATTAGGGAGGTTTCTTATGATCTGTGACCCTGATCACCCAATTTTATCTTGATCATAGCTGATACAGAATAAAAAATACCACCGTGGACATAATATTCCCAGAATTAGCATGATAATTTTGACTGCACATGTTACATTTGCACACCACCTCAAATACTCTTAAATAGGCTTTAGTGAGAATGAAGATTGTGTAAGTCATGTGATTAAGCCTAAGAAATAAACCAATGTATCATAAATATTTTAGTGCTGCTTGTATAGTGAGCAGTAAACATAGGGCACTGATATGTCAGTTTTGACTTACATGTATGCTCAATCCCATCCTTTATTAAATTATGGTCTTATTTATATTAAATTAACAACACCTTCCTTGTATTGTGCATGCCTCCACATGTTCACGAATATTCACATGTTGACACATTCAAACTTGCCTGCTTACTTGCTCTATCAAATAGATCTGCTGCATTAATGCCTCCATTTGGCCTCAATTCCATCTCATAGAAGCTTAAATTTGCCTGCTCACACTCACAAATATTTTGCTCTTTCACTTGCTCACATTCCCTTGCTCGCTTACTTGTTTATGCACTTGTTTGCTCGCCTACTCACTTGCTTCTTTTCATTTACTCATCTGTTCTCTCATTCAATCTCACTAATAATTCGTATATAAACACGCTTAACAAGCTATGTGGATGAGGGAAGGGGATGTTCCCTCCATGCTGGATTTGATATTCACCAGGAAAGAGGAAAAGATATTTTACATTCAGTACCTTCCTCCCTTGGGTAAAAGTGACCATGTCATTTTGTGAATAAAGTATGCAGTGCGTTATAATCTGGAAGAAAATGAGGAAGTTGAAGCAGTTGAAAAACCAGATTTCAGGAGAGAACATTAAGTGGAATGTAGAAATATCTTTAAGGAATTTGATTGGAAAGACTTGCTGTTAGGAAAAGATGTAAATGAGATGTATGTCAAATTTTGTGACAAATGATAAAAGCACAACAAAATTTATACCAAAACAGAGATGCAGAAGTAGGAAACAGGATTGGTTCAACAGAAATTGCGAGAGAGCCAGAGACCCAAAAACACAAAAATTTAATCAATATAGGAAGAAGCCAAACCCTCAAACATACCATCATTATAATGAACTGCAAAACAAGTACACAGCAGTGAGAAGAGTGGTAGAAAGAAATTTTGAGAAAGGGATAATGGACAAATGTGAAACAGAAGCAGGCCTATTCCATAAATTCCCCAAAAGCAAATTGCAGGTAATTGATAATATTCAGAGGCTGAAAATGGGAAACAAATTCACAGAAAATGAAAAGGAAATGTGTGAAACATTAAATGAAAAGTTACAAAGTGTGTTTGTACAAAATGAAATCTTCAGAGAACCAGACAAAATAAGAATTCCAGAGAATAACACAGAGCACATAGAGTTGTCTAGAGACGAAGTGGAAAAAAACTCAAGGAACTAAGTAAGAACAAAGCAGCTGGCCCAGATGGAGTTTCACCATGAGTTCTGAATGACTGTGCACCTGATTTCAGCATTTCACTTCAACTGAATTTTAAGGCATCCCTGTGTACAAGAGTCATACCAGATATGTGGAAAAAGACTAACATAGTTCCAATCTACAAAAGTGGCAGCAGGGTAGACCCCCTCAATTATACACCTGTATCATTGACAAATGTAAAAGTCAAAATATTGGAAAAAACCAGCGTTAAATGTAACGAAACGCCATTTTCTGGGTAAAACCCAGAGGCTCCCTGGAGCTATCCAGCTGATATTAATGTATTCGACTCAGGCTTCAGTCAAGCGAATGGAGTTATAGGCCTACCAGGGACCATGAGACAGAACCTGGCTCCCCTCAGAGTCATGAGGTGCAATGGCCTATAGAAACCTGTGTGGTTGGAAGCATTCTATGTCTGCCATTGACTGGGTCAGGCACCCAGAAAGGTAGGCGCCCTTAAACAAACATTATCTGGTTAAAATAGTGCTACTGAAAGCCGAAAGCCGGTAAGGGGGAGCCCTCAAACCCCCACTCTGGCTATCCAACCCGTTAGTTCTGAGGCTGGATGTTAAAAAACTTATGAAACCGCTGACTAGAGGGAGGGAGGGTTGCTAGAGAGCCTCCAGGTCTAACCCAGAAAATGGCATTTCATTACTTCAATGTTGGTTTTCTAGGGGAAGCCCCTTCAGCTCCCCGGAGATACTTAACCAAAGATAAAAACAAGAGGGACTTACCCGGGAGGCAGTCGCCACTCGCTCCTCAACTCCAAGTCTAGACAACTGGTTGCAACCGCCGCCCCAATGTCACACATGCCCAACTAGGGCCAGGAACATGACTAGGTAATGAGCAGCCAGGACCCTGTTCGACCTCCAAAATCCCCATTCCCGAATGTCAGCCCCATGACATGTTACTGAAAACGGTAGCCAAAGCAGCAAACTTACAAACGTCATGGGCACGAGGATAGACCGCAGGCTGGCTAGACCAAATAACCCTGCGGACAACCTGGGAGACCCAAGTCCTGGAACAAGGAAGAAGGAAATCCGGTTCATCCCAAAGCGCGTCCCTGGACACCGAGGCCATGGCGCGCAGGTGATGGAGAAGAGCCGCAACTGGACACAACACACGATGTACTCCTAGCCGAACTAACTACGCATCAAGAACCCAAGGACCCCTCCGGAAAGCAGCAGTCTCATTCTTCGCCAGTAAAGAAGAAGACGACTGCAAATGAACAAACCTACTACCAGGACCAAAAGAGCAGAAACCCCTGTGCTGGAGGAGAGCATGAAGCTCCCAACCTTACCCCCAGAGGCCAATGCCAACAGAAAAGAGCCTTCGCTTCAAAATCTGAAACCGAAGAGGCCACAACAAACCGAGGAAAAGATAGAAAAGAGAGCACCCAGCCCAATGACCAGGATGGCTCAGGCAGAGCATGAGCAGGCCAGAGGTGAAGCAACGCACGAGACAGTTTGCGAAACGGAGCAGAACTAACATCCACCCCAAACGTAAGCTGAAGCGACTCCGCCAGCGGCTCGCAATATGAGGTGACAGTATTTGACATAAGATGACGATCCTGAAACAACCAAGACAGGAGGGTCAAGACAACCCGATCTAAAACTGAAGAAAACCTACGAAGGGACAAGAAATACCGATAGGACCGCCAGTAAACTTCATACTATTGCTGAGAAGAGATGTGCAGTTGGGACACCATCAATGAAGCATTACATCACCATACAAATGTCATTAGACCTGCATCAGAAGGGCAGATGCAAAGACTTGAGAAAAAGATCAAACCAGCAACTTAACCCTTAACCCTTAAATGGCGCATGGCTATATGCCATTTAACACCCACAGGCGCACACAAAAAAAAAAAATCTTTTTTCTTCTTAACCTGTTAATTTGTGTTCACTGATCATGGGAAAAATAATAAAAAAAATTTAAGTGGCATATATTGCCCGCTATAGGGCGGGGAAGTCTGGCAAAAAACAGGCGCTGATTCAGTGTGCGTCCCAGGCGGTTTGTTGCTCGCCAGCTGTCAGGCCGGAGTTGCCACAAAGAGATAATTACCTAATTATTTCAATGTCTCTGATTGATTTTTCGTAGTTTTTTTGCTGTAATATTATTCAATAGTGTGTAGTGTGATAGATTTATATAATAAAATGAGTGAATCATTGCTGTACTCAAAAATATGGTGTGCATACTGTTGATTCAATTATGTTCATCAAACAGTGAACAAATACTTTGTCGGTTATTACACTATATACACAGGTTATATATAAGTATCTGCATGTTTTGTTCGCCATAACGAACCACTAAGTTGCTATTATGAGTCAAAAAGTAACGAGGAGTGACCGCCAAACACCAGCCAGCCACTCACTCCCTCCCTCAACACCTCACTCGCCCACATTCTCCTCCCACCATACTGTTTTTGCTTTTATTCACTATATACAGACGGTATATATAAGTATCTACATTCGTGTACACCATAACGAACCACTAAGTTGGCATGC